TGAATAATAACAGTATTTTTATGCTCAGTACTATGCCAGGTATCTTTTTTTTATTCTCTTAAATATTGAACAATTTATTTAAATATTATGCCAGGTATTTTAATGCATTATATGTACTTCTCATTTAATTTTCTCAACCACATCATGAAATCCCTATGTAAATTGTTCCTGATTTACTGTATAAAAAAAAAGTTCAGAAAGTTTAAATATAAATTGCCTAATGTAAGGTTATCCCTCACTCTCGTTTATGATTTTATTTATTTATGCATACAAGTACTAGGGTGTAGGCCAGAACTGCAGGAATTGAGAGTATTCACCAGAGACAGTGGGATATAGAACAGGCAGATGTAGTGAAATACACTGCTGAAAGGAACTGCCAGCAAGACTGAAGAGGTCTGCTGGGCCATGTGGGTTGCTTTATCTTGTGTCTTATGATATATGTGACACTTTCAATTTCAGGGTCTTTTTTGGGTTCTATAGTGATTGAACTTACCTTTCTCATCATACTTAATTAAAAACTCTTTGTGATATTTTCCATTATTGGTAAACTCTGTCTTTAAAAACTACTTTAAGGCTGTCTTCATCTCTTATCAGGACCCTGTTCTAATCTATTAGTTAATGTAAAAGTTTCTTTGTCAGTTTTTCTTTGAATTAAGCTTTCAGCATAGTCAACCTGCTGAGCTTCTTAAGTATGTCCATCAATTTTGAACTGAGGATGTCTTCTTTACTACTTAATTTTCTACCAGTAGATTTCACTTTAAGAACATTCTCTATTACTCTAAAACCCTGTGAATTACATAAAATGCCACATTATTAAAAATCTATGTGTGGTGATATCTGAAGTCTCTGATAATTTCAAATAGTTTAAATAGGGCTTTTTATTGCACTAAGGGAAGAATCCAGATTATAAAAATTGATGTGAGAGTGTTTCAAGTTGGTTAAAAAGTTAAAGGTTGTCTCTCATAATAAAATTTTCCTGCTTTTTTCCTGTTGGCAAATAGAAAATAAGTTAAATTTACTAAAATGTCTGAATTTTAGTATTTTTCAGTGCAATAATTATTCTTATCAATAAATGAATAGGATATTTATAAGATATTATGATGCATGATATATGATAGCTTGTAATAAACATAAATTAATTTGCTGGAGCCAGAATTGTCGAAAAGATCCTTAAGTTTTGAATATATAGAGTTCAAGTATAGTTGAATATACAGAGTTGAAGTAGCTATTTCCTTTTGTTAAAAATATTTATTAATTTTCTCAGAATGTCTAGCTAATCTATATTTTTTAGATAATAAAAGCTCGTTTTTATTTGGGCTTCATTAGTTTGGAATTATGTGTTAATGTGTACTCAGAGACATTGCTCAACTTTTAAAATACTTAAAATAAGCTAATACTTTCCAATTAGCCTTGTGTACTCATTTACTTATAAAGATAATGCCCTAGATTATTACTAAAGACATACCACCTGAAAACCTAGGTCATATTTAATTTGTGGGTTTTTTGGGTATTTTTGTCTGTTTGCATTGAAATTTTTGAGATTCAGACAGACTGCTACAATTGTTAATTGTGGTTTTGGTTAGTTATCCCATAACCTGTTTCTTTAATAAAATCTTTTTTTTTTTTTTTTTAAAGATTTATTTATCCGTACAGAACTGGGGTACAGGCCAGAGATGCGGAGGGGGAGAGGATTCACCAGAGACAGAGCAGGGAGCAGAACAGGCAGATCAGGGGGGCAGTGGGCGGGTCAGGGGAGGTCTGCCACGCCATGTGGATCTCCTCCGGGGCAGGCGGGGCCATGTGGATCTCCTCCGGGGCAGGCGGGATCGAACTCATGCGGAGGTAGCTGTAGCTTCTTAGTGCAGTGCTTTAACCCGCTGCGCCACCAGGAGGGCCCCTCTTTAATAAAATCTAAAGAGAAAGTAGTGAAGGTGTGAACATCTTAAGGGTCATTAACAAAACCTTTGGCAATTGCCCTTTAGATGGTGAAAAGTAAAAAGAGAAACAAGCTATTAGGAAGATAATTTTGTAAAAAAACATTTTAAGACCTATTGCTGGTTCCTGAGTATTTGTGGGAGACAGGTGTTTCTTCATTTTTCTTCTTTGTCTCTAGGTTTAATGAACATTCAGAATATTTTATTGGCTAGGATTTGGGAAGTGAATATATCACTGACTATGCTTGTTAATTAATCAGTTAAAACACTTGCATTTTTCCATTTCTAAAACCAGTAGAAATGTGGTCATTTCCTAGTTTATTTATTTGAAGCAAGACATGTTAGCCAGTTGTTACTATTTAGAAATTTTAATTCTAAACCCTGAAATCATCTGTTTACAGAAATACAGGATTATAGAATACATTTTCCAAATATATATGCTTGTTAGTGCTGTGGTTTCTTATTTTAACAACTTTATAGTAGGATTAATACATTCACCAAAGCGGAGGATAAGCTATTTATTAATGGAATTTTTTGATGAATATATTTCTGCAACAAATCTGTCTGGAATACAAAATATATAGGTCTTACTTAAAAAAAATGTTAAGTATATAAGGAATTATTTTTAATTAAATGGTGTTTTCAAAATGGCCTGACAATTGCTAGAATATAAACATTCACATTGGACATAAACTACTGGTTTAAATATCAAACCTGGCTGGTTAAAGCCCAGCGCAGACATGCAAGCAAGCTACAGTCCCTTTAATGCAAGTTCAAGCCCCAGCCCTGGAAGCAATCCAAAGGCAGACCTCTCCTGTCTAGCCTGCTGCTCCCCTCAGCAGTGTACTTCATCAGTTTACCTGTCCTGCTCCCCACTCTGTCTCTGTCTCTCACCACCCCTCCACCTCTGGCCTGTACCCAGTTCTGTATGAAGAAATAAATAAATCTTTAAATAAATAAATCTTTAAATAAATAAATAAATAAATAAAAGTACTTTAAAAAGTTTAAAAAATAAATATCAAACCTTCAAAAGTAGCATTAAAGTATCTTCATTATTAAATATTAACAGTTAATCTAAAGAAGAAATCAGCAAACGTTGGTCCATATGATCTGTGTTACAAAGATTCAGTTTTGCTATTTCAATTTAAAAGCAGCAAAAGACAATACATTAACAAGAAAGAGTAAGTCTATTCCTTAACCACTCAGCCACAACTATGCCAAGAGTAACTTCTAATAAAATTTTATTTAGAAAAACTGACAGGGACATGAAAAATGTGAAAATATACCGTATATGGGAACTCTTTGTACATTTTGCCCAGTTTTTCTACAAACCAAAAAAATTTTTTTTAAAGATTTACATTTTTAAAAAAGATGTCAAAAAATAAAAAAAATGTAGAATAAGTAATGATCAGCATTTCCATACCTTTCATTGGTGATAAATCTACTGATGACTAAACCATAAACATCATTGTCATGTATATTCTTAGAGGAGCTCAAATTGTTCCCCCCCCCCAAGGATCTTTTGTAGAACTTAACTCAGTGACTAAATCAAAAAATTTTTAATCTATCTTTCCATATTGGACAGCATAAATACCCAGAACTCCTTTTTTTAACATTCACAGGAATTTTTGGAGAAATTGGTGATTTAAATGATACCCTGGAATAAAATAATTATAACATTTTTAATTATGTTTCTATGCTCCTATCATTGCTATATCATTACTTCGAGTTCACATTTTACAGCATACATTTTTTTCTCTTAGGAATATACCATATTCATAGTATGTGCTGTGAATCAGATAAAATATTTACAGCCATTCACTGTAACATCTGTGTAATTCTTCTGACAATTCATTTTAAAAAATTAATGTGTTTTGCACCTGATTTAACTTTAAAAATTTAAATATGTACATAATGAGTGTAGCCACTTTTAACCTTTAATGTGAAGTACAGCACAATAAAAAAGTACATAAAATAGAGGCATCCATTTTAGCAAGTTATTATAAAGCAAATATCAGTAGAACTATCATGCAAATCAAGAAGTACAGAATTGCCATCACCTTGGAAGTTTCTTCTGTGCCCCTTTCCAACTATAACATTTTCCTTTACCCCTAGGGCTAGCCATAAGATTTCTGTAATAGCCATTTCTTTACTTTTCTTAATGGGCTTATCACTGAAGAACTCTTCAGTGGAGAGCTAAACAACATAGATTAATTTTGTTTTTAAACTTTACAGGTGGAATCATATAGTATGAATTTTTCATTGTCTGCCTACTACTTTAATGATAATATATTCATTTTAGCCTTTCTAGAATAAAAAGGCCAGAACCTCCCTGGTGACACAGGAGTTAAAGTCTCAGTACTATCAAGCTATCGCCAGCTTGCCACTGTGGCATAATTTCCATCCGAGCTAACCCACATGCTGCAGCAGACTTCTCCTATCTTGCCTGCTGCTCCCCTCAGCAGGTTTCAATGGATTTTCCTGTTCTGCTACCCACTCTGTCTCTGGTGAATCCTTTTACCTGCACCTCTGGCCTGCACCCCAGCTCTTGTATGTGTAAATTAATAAAATTAATCAAAAAAGAAAAAAACAAGACTGTGGAGAACATCTAATAGTTTTTAAAAAAGAATAAAAAGGCCAAAATGAAGTATTGGGATATTAAGCTGTGTTCAAACCTGTCTTCATGGGTAACCTGTGACAGACAACATGTTTGATGACTCTTTCTGGCCTTTAACTGCATTTTCTATCCTGCAGGATACTATTGCAGGTGCCTAATAACTGTCATGGTGGGTGGCGAAAGACAGAGCACTTGGCTTTGAAAGCAGATTTCTCAATTTCTCTGAGCTCTTATATCACCTTGTAAATTTTATGATAGGAGTCAATGTTATATTTTATAAAAATTAGTTATAAAGACTTTAATAATGTAAATATTAATGTGTACCTACATAGACACATATACATACTTGTGTTTAATAGTACATACATATGTGCATATTTATGTTTCTGAAGAAATACTTTAATTATCACAAACATTTGATTTTATAGAAAAAATACTTTGTTTTTCAGGTGAAACTTCCACCGATGATGGAAATCATAACTGCTGAACAACTGATGGAATATTTAGGTTAGTGTTAAAAATTAGTGATTTTATATCTCTTTCAAAATAAAACAAAGTTTTCAAAGCTAGTATGTTATCACATTTCACCTTTCTGAAGTGTTTTTATATAATTTATTTAAAAATTATAATTTTGAATACCTTAAGTATATGTCAATATGTTACTATTCTTGTATGGTAAAGCCTTGTTCCTGACCAGCATTAAAACTCTGTAAAATAAATAGAGAGATAGGTGACATCTAGAAACAAGATACATTCCAATAAACTGCAGAATGAAAAATGGCATCAAAACTCTGACATTGCATGTATTGAATAGAAAATACTAAATAAAATGTTGAGTAGACTTGAATTAAACATCCAAGAGGTGATTTAGTGCGACCCAAGTAGGATTTATGGGCCTGTGCCAATTTTTAAAATGCTAATTATCATCCTGCAGTGAGCAGAGAGCTTGTATCAGAATGTAAAACATTTACATTAGCAAGTATACTATTCAGCTTATCTAAAGTTTTTTCATTGCAAAGTTTTCTTGAAAAAAAAAAAAGCATTGAATTGCATTTTTATGTAAGCTGCTTATTTCAAAACAGACTTGTAAGACAGTTTGTATACCATCTTCATGGAGTATAACTTGTCTATAAGTTCAGGTAGTTGTTTATCACACTCAGGTCTTTACTGATTTAATAAGTATATAGAGTTATACCATTAACAAATAAAAAATCTTAAACCATATTCCGCCAGGGTTTTTTTTTTGTATATTTTTATTTAAAAAAAATCTTGTCAGCTAATGAGTTTTTCTGTGCTATTCTAGACAGCTAACTAACTGATTTTTTTGAGATGTAGAGTTAGTAAAGTCATTCAGTTTTCAGCTTTTGAAAAATTCTTTTGTTTATATAATTACTATCACTTAATCGATTCATTAATTGAGTAGATTACTTTAATATCTAGATACCTAGAAATAGAGTTTCTAGGTGCCCCTGTTTTAGTCTAGCTTTTGATTCTTAAGCTTAGAGATTTGTAAGTTATGCTCTCATGGTAAAAGTTGAAATACATTTGGTGCTTTGAGTATCAGTCAAAAATAGTAGGAGATATTAAAGAAGCAATGGGGTCTGATTATACAGGGCTCTCTAAGGCTTTTATAACAACTTTGACTTTTCTTGTGAGTAAACAGGGAAACAATTTGAAGATCTTGAATAGAGGAATGACATGATCTGACTTTGAGTTTAACAAAACTCAAATTCTTACTGTTATGTTAAAAATAGTCTGGGTATCAGGGAGAACTAAATGAGCCTGGAGGTCAGCTAGGAAACTATTACAGTTGACAATGGTAGTAGAAATGGAGATTATAGACTGTGGTCACATTCTAGATTTAGAGTTGACAGAATATGCTGATGAGTGAATATGGAGTGAGTGAATCAAGTGTTACCCCAGTTTTTTGACTTGGACAAATGAAAAGATGGTGTTAACATAAGTCAAAACAGAAAAGGGAGGAGTATCAATATTTTGATGAAATAATTATTGAAATCAAATAGCGAGTCTAGGAAGGCAGTTAACTGTGTAAATTCACAGTTAAGATGAGAGGTTTGGATGAATGCTGTACAATATAACTTTCTGTGATGATGAAAATGTTCTGTTTGTGCTGTCTAGTTCAATGTTACTAGCTACATGTGACACTTCAGGTCTTGAAATGTATGGCTAATGTGACTGAAGAATGTTAAATTTAACTTTAATTAACTTATAGAACTATGTGTTACACTGGCTACTATGTTGGATAGTATAGAGCTAGTATGTTAAACATTTGGTAGCAGCCAGTACACATAAATGATAATCTGAACAAGATTACAAAGAGAATGACTGTAGATAGAGGAGGAAGACTTCAATGGAGTAAGTCTAGGACTTGCCAGTAATTAAAATTTGGGGAAGAAGAAAGAACAGATATACACAGAGAGGTAAAGAATGACAAGAGAGGGCCCTCCCTAGTGGCGCAGCAGGTTAAAGTGCCTCACTAAGAATCGAAGGCCACTTCCGCATGAATTCGATCCCCGCTTTACCCAGAGGTGATCCACATGGCACAGCAGACCTCTCCTGATCCGCCCGCTGCTTCTCTCAGCATGTACTTATTTGATCTGCCTGTTATGCTCCCCAGTCTGTCTCTGGTGAATCCTCTCACCGCTCCTGCCCCTCTGGCCTGTACCCCAGTTCTGTATGCACAAATAAATCTTAAAAAAAAAAAAAAAGAATGACAAGAGAATTTCAATGAAGAATGAGAGATAGCTGAATCAAATACTAGTCAATAAACAGAAGACGACTAAAAATTGATCTTTGGTTGAGCCATAAGGATGTCCTTGGTAACCTCAGCCAGTACAAGGAATGGAAACCTAATTGGAGTGAATAGAAGAGAAAATCAGAAGCTCTGATACACAGATGATAGGAATGTAATATTATGTAGCTACTTTGGAAAACAGTTTGTTGTTTCCTTAAAAAAATTAAGCAGAGATTTATTATATGATCATAAAATTTCACCTATGCGTGTGTGTGCATGCGCGCACATGCACAGTGGAATATTACTCAGCAATCAAAAAAGATAAACTTGTGCCTTTTGCAGCAACATGGATGGGCCTGGAAGGGATCATGCTTCGTGAAATAACCCAGAAAGAAAAAGAAAACTATCAGATGGTTTCAGTCATATCAGGAGCATAAGGGATCAGGGAGAGACTAACAGATATAATAGAGTAAAAAGGAAAACAATGAACAACTATAAACCAGAGACATTTTATGGGGGTGGGAGGGGAATGGAACCAAAACTGGGGTGGGACGAGTGCACTGGACTGTGGTGATGTGGTACACAGGTGAATTGGTGATGGGAGCCCCATGGGGATTACAACTGAGCAGGAAAAATGAAGAATGATGTAAAAAAAAAATATGTTTATGGTGTAAAAAATATAAAAGATAAATATTGAATATTTGAAATGGGTTATTTGTATACTGTGTGAACAAAATGTCAAAAGCTATTTAAAGAAGAGAAAAATGGGAGTAAAGGAATTAAAAAGAATTTAAAAAATAATATAATAGTTTATTTTTACATCATTTTGTACTTTTTTCTATCTTAGCTATAATCCCTGTGGGCTTGCCATCACCATAGTCCAATGCACTTCACCCCCAACCGCCACATTTTTTATCCCATTCCCCATTCCACCCCCGTAAAAGGTCTCTGATATATAGTTGTTCGTTGTTATTATTATTTTCTCCCTGGTCCTTTATATTCCTGCTATGAGTGAAACCATCTGGTAGTTTTCCTTTCCTTTCTGGCTTATTTCATAAAGGATAATCCCTTCCAGCTCCATCCATGTTGCTGCAAAAGATGTGTGTTTATCTTTTTTTATTGCTGTGTAGTATTCCATCGGATATATGTACCACATCTTAAAAAGAATATTTTAAAGAAATGGAAGAATTCATCTTGTATAGGCAATGGGCACAAAGCAATGGGCAGAAAGACAGAATGTGTTAAAATGAATGTGGATCGGTAGAAGGTGGTTTGTAGCTTTTGTAGTATAGTGCTGCTCTTTTCTCAAGTGAAATTAAAAACTATCATCAGCTGAGATTGAGAATGAAAGAGGAGTTATTGAAATGAGAGGGAAATATAAAATAGGTGTCCATACAGATAGGGAAGTATGAATGGAAAGATGTTATTTGATTCCTAGGGCTACTTCTGAGATTAGTCAGATGAGTAAGCATGACTATAGGCCTCAGCAATGGGGAAGCAGGAATTAACCAGACCTGGTTTTTTGCCAGTGAATATGTTGAAGAATCTCTGGAATTGATGTGTGTTGAAGTGATTATGGACTACAGAATTTATTGCATAAGGGAGAAATAAGGGTGTAAATATGTTGAGGAAAATAGGCTGAAGTCAATAGATAATAGTTCTTGATAGAGCTGAAGAATTCTTGAAGCTTGCTAATGACCATGGAATATGAGTACCTGAGATAAGGTAGATAGAAGATTTTGGTTGGAGAAGAGGTCCAGAACAGAAAGGCCAGAATATTGGATTAATCCTATCTAGGAATATTAAAATTACCAAAAATTACATCAGAATTTGTGTTGGAGAAAGACAGTAATTACGAATGAGGGGAATCAATCCCAAAATTTTTGAGGATTGCAAGAAGGCAGTTATACTATTTGTTGGCATTAAAACTGAGAAGTTTCAGGATGGCAGAGCAGAATGACAATAAGGGAACAGGTAGATATCTGTCCCAGTTTTAAGCTTAGATACACAAGTCTGAGAGAAAAGAGCTATTGTGTGAGAGGGCTGCAGTGTCATCAAGGCAGAGCCAAATTTCATTTAGCAAAGAAGGTAATGGGACCTTTAAAAGAAGAAAATGGCTACCTGATTTTTCTGATGAGAGACCATAAATTCCAGAGACAGAGAAATTCAGATAAAAATTTGTGTCATCACTGGTGCGAATGTAAGCTAGTACAACCACTATGGAAAACTGGAGGTTTCTCAAACTGCTAAAAATGAAGCTTCCATATGACCCAGCAAGCTTAAATCTAAGTATCTACCCAACAAACACAAAAACACTGATTCAAAAAGACACCTGCACCCCCATGTTTATTGTTGTTTTATTTACAATTGGAAAGACATGAAATCAACCCAAATACCCGAAAGTAGATGACTGACTTAAAAAGTTGTGGTATGTATTCACAATGGAGTATTACTCAGCAGCCATAGAAGATAAATAACATGCCTTTTGCAGCAATATGGATGGAGCTGGAAGGGATCATGCTTAGTGAAATAAGCCAGAAAGAAAAAGAAAAATACAAGATGGTTTCACTCATAACAGGAGCATAAAGGACCAGGAGGAAAATAGTAATAATGAACAACTATATACCAGAGACATTTTACAGGGGTAGAATGAGAAATGGGATCAAAAATGGGGGTGAGTGCACTGGACTATGGTGATGGCACACAGATGAATTGGTGATGGAAGCCAACAAGGATTACAACTAAGGTGGAA